TATATATATATATATATATATATATATATATATATAACACTAAACATTATCTTAAGATGGCTGAATTTACATTTATATATTTTATTCAATTTAGAGGATATGAAAATTGGCATTGTATCATGCCTAGTGCTACTTTGAAACGTGAGAGTTGGTTCATGAACTCCTTTGCTTAATAATCAAAGACTCCAAACTTTCTATCTTTATATATTTAATGTAATTGTATGTAAATATAGTGAATGCTTTTTAAGGACTTCCTTAATTTCATCTCCTCACATCATTACCACTGATCTTACAATGTGGTCTTCTAGATCTTCACTACATGGTCATTTCTTTACACTCCATACCTTTACATAGCACAGAAATTTTGTAAAGACCTTTTTTTTTTTTTAATTTCTTCTTCCTTCTGCATGGGTCTGTTTCTACTTCTTTCAGACTCAGTTCCAAAGCTTGCACCCATTGCAACCTATCACAATAATTCCAATCAGAATATGAGTCTGAGTTCCCAGAGGGTCATAACCACAGTCCCATTGCAAAGATCACACCTAAGACACTTGCCTTCAATAACCCTAGGTCTAGAACAATGCTAGAAATATTCACTACCTACATGTTGAGTGAACAAACTCACAAATGAATTGGAACTCATTCAAGCAAGTGTTAAAAATACTACCTGGTTATCTTAGGTTTCTTTTTAATCAGAGGGATTTGGAATGAGGGAATTACTACTTTTTGATGAAAACAGTTTATGCTACATTTTCTGATAAAAGTACAAAATTATAGACTTTTCTAGGATTGACTATAAAACTGAGCTTGTAAGAGAGAGATCAAACTTTATAGTCAAAGAAAGTGTATTTCCAAATAAGCTGTCGTTAACTTGATTTCAAGCTTTATGGAACAAGGGTCATCAAATGGGTTCAGGTATAGCAACAAGTTAAATTGGCTGTAATTCCGTATCTACAGAATTCTCTTCAATTGATCCAACTTAACCTGTAAGCAAGCCTTTAGTGTCAAAATGACTTGTAGAGCCTTATCCATGACTTAGATGAAATATACAAGACCACATCATTATAGCTGTGAATTAGATCAATCTTGGAAAGGGAGCTTAAACATTTGATTTGACAGGGTCTCAGTAGACTAAAATGATGAACCCAAGCTGACAGGATAAGATTTAATAAGGCTAGGTATAGAGTTCTGAACTGAAGTTAAAAAAGAAATTGATTGTACAGCATAGCATGGAGACCTCATTTAATAACAATTTGTGTGAGAAAGACATAGGAAAATACTTTAAGAGAGGAAAGTGCATAAATGAAATTTTACATTATTTCACAAAAATAATGTGCCAAGAATAAGTAAGGTTATTATTCCATTATGCAGTTTTACTACACATTATTCTACATGGACTCCTGAGCTACATATTATATCTAAGAGGAGAGGGACAATTGGACTTCTACCCTCAGAGACTGTCATTTGACTATCATAGCTGTCAGTCAACTCTTGTTGAGCCAGACTAGATGCCTGTGCTTTGACTAGATTTCCTCATTGAGTCCTCAACAGTTTAATCCAGCAGATTTGGAATGGCTACTGTGGAAACACAGAAACTCCCATCAGGATTGTACCAAAAAGACTACAGCTCCATCTTGCCACCAAAATTGCCCTGGCGGTGACTTTCTCAGAAAAGTATACAATCAATGAAATAAAGGAAAGGTCATTATATTAAGGTTTAAATGAAAAATTTACAATTAAAAGTTAAGTATACCATCCTTTTCTCTCTGCTGGGACCCCACCACCCCACACTGGAATGCTGCCACACCTGCATTCCATTGTCTTTGCTCAGAATCTGACAGCCAATGTCATTCAGCTGTGCCCATCTCAATCACACACTGATGCTGACCTTGAACTCAATTATCTGAGAGGAAAAGGACATGAAAACAAAGAGGGAAGAGATAAGGCCATACAAACATTTTAAAACAAAGAAAGTTAAGAGACAGTTTGTTCCTATATTTTCAAAAAATGTTTGGGACACAACTACAAGCTGAATATTTTGGCTATTTAATTGCTATTTGAAAGTCATCAGTTACAATGTAAAGTGATATCAAATGATCTCTAGTGTTTTTTAGGTCAAAAAAAGAATACATTGAAAATTGGGCTGTGATATTAACATACATTCCAAAATTTTGTGACAAATAATGGCTAAAATTTTGTTCCAGGGAGCAGCTGATTCAAGTGATACTGTAACAGACATTTTAAAATGACAGAGCCCTAGAGAGGAAACCACATTTAATATCAATGTTTATAAATATGATTAATTTGATGGCACTCCACCCCTTTTTAAAAGACTTCCTGAATAATTTGATTCTGAAAATGCAATGGGATTTTAAATAAAATGGTACGTATTCACTTATCATTAAAAGCTTTGTAGACATATTCTCAAACATAACAGCATTAACTGTAGACCAAGAAGGAGAAGTATTTACAAAACCTGTTATTTGATCAAGTTAAATTTTACTACACGGAGAAAGGAGAGAAGTTTATGTGAAAGAGAAAAGGGCTTTACAGACAAAAGGTGGAAGGAAAAAAAAAATAAGATCAGAGAGTTAAAATACATGCAAAGAGGGAGGAAGTAATGAAGGAACAAAATAAACTAATATTTATTATCTTCCTGAATCACTAGTAAATTAATGTCAGCAAAAATCATAGGATATAGACTCTGCATGTAGACATGAATAAACTATTATATAAACAGACCAAATTCTAGAAAGTTGATATGTGACAAGTCACATCAAAATTCATTGAAAATAAAGTGAAGTATCTACTGATAAGAAGCATTCACTGTTTACATTAATTCAAAGCCTTAGGAAATTAGGCAAATTTCCTTGTAATTAGTGTGTGTGAGCATGCATATATATGTATTAATATAACTAAAACCAGTTGGGTTTCTAGTTAAAATAAATTTTATTCTACATGCTATCATTCTGTATCTAAAACTTAGAGGAGGAAGTAGGACACTTTCTATGTAGGAAATGAAACACTTCAAGAAAATATAACACAACTATTCTACTTTCTTTGAAAATAAACAATATTTGGGCTTTCAAGTTTGTAACTATTATAATTATAAATTAGAGTCTAAAGGAATCTTCTGTTTTTTGACAGAGTTCTTACTTTACATGAAATAGATGATATTGATTTTAATGTGAAAGAACTTTAATAGAATTAGTATACATAGAGAGAGAGAGGAGAAAGAAGGTAACTAATTCTTCCAGTAAACACTCCAAATTACCTTTCCCATCATGGGCAAATGGCCAAACAAGTTTGGCCTAAAGTGGGGTCAAAATATCGGTATCTGATTTTTTTTTTAAAGACTTATTTATTTGTACATACATAACTAGGGTACAGGCCAGAGGCTCAGGGGCAGTGAGAGGCTTCACCAGAGACAGAGCAGGGAGCAGAACAGGCAGATCAACGAAGTACACTGCTGAGGGGAGCAGCGGGCGGGGCAGGAGAGGTCTGCCACACCATGTGGTCTCCTCCGGGGCAGGCGGGAATAGAACTCATGTGGAAATGGCTTTAGCTTCTCAGTGCAGTGCTTTAACACGCTGCGCCACCAGGGAGGGCCCTCGATATCTGATTTTTAAGACACCTATTTTTCTCTGTAATTGTCATACATCTCTCACTTATAAGTTGGGGGAATTAGAGTCAATCTTTAAATTCAGTCTTTACTAGTAAATATGTTTGAAGTCCCTACTATAGGTCAGATACAACTATTTTAAAGTTTGAGACAACAACTTATTCTTTTGAATAATGGTATGTATCATGACTTACTAAAATATGCAAGTTATTTGCTTACAAACCACTTTTTGAGATTTTAAAATTATTGTGTTATACTTACCAGCCAAAGCAAGAATATATTCTTGAAATCTCGTTCCTATACGGTTAGTGGCTGTGCAATTGTATCGTCCAAAGTCATTGTCAGATGTAGGTGCGATCTAAAATAACCATCAAAATAAAAGCTTCACAAATCTAGCACAATATCACTGTTTTATAGTAAGCTCTAGCATGTCTCCCATCTTCACATATATTAAATAATTCACAGTTCCTTGTTTATAACCATTTTTCTACCATTATTAATATATTACCATATATTATTAAATAATATAAACCCCTTTAACATATAACCCATATGCTTATTCTATTATTGAACTAGCTATATCATGGTTTTCCCATGAATTTATAAAGTAAATAATGCCATGATTTTTTAATCTAATAAATAGAAAATCATTAAATACTTATCCATAGAAAGCTCAAAATAGTATACAATTTGAAAAATACATATTTTTCATCATTAGCATGGTAAGTTTAACACAGGAAATTTGCTCTAATAGCACAGTTACTACTTTGTTTTCTTTGTTTTAGTCTAAAATTTGGCAGATTTGAAATTAAAGACTTATAATATGTTCAAGTTCTTACCCTCTTATGGTTTTACTGACCATAAATTATTAACCAGGGATGAAGATTCATTCTAAAAAAAAAAAATCTTTCCAGGAAGGTATTTTTCAAAGAAATATTGCCATTGTGTTGCAATCCCTATAGACAGCCACATTATCTTGACATCTAATAACAGTCTCTTGCCTCCATTTCTGTTCAATTCCTATCATTCTCTTTCAGTTTAGGTAGAAAAGATCTGACCTCAAGCCTTGCACATTTGAAATCCATAATTAAGTTAACCTTCTGGGATTCTATTGCTGAACATTGGGACCAACCCTGTAATTCTAATGTACCAAAATTCTAAAATATCAATTCAGAAAAGAGATTTGATGATAGTAATAGATATAATTTTCAGTCCCAGCAACTATTATTAGGAAAGAATATGCTTACAACAAGAGTTGCTGTTAATTTCAACTCTATCCCAAAAGGGGGAAAACGATTTTGTGGTAATGGGAGGCTATTAACTCAAAGTGCAATTTTGAGGTCCATTGAAGATGGTAATTCTAAAAGAGTACAAAAAAAGCTGTGTCGTTCATTCTGCACTCAGCTGTCCATCCAGGAATAGATCACTGGCTTAAGAAATAGAAGTTTTAACAGCTTTTATGTAAAGTACTCCTCAGTGATTAAATTAATCATTTTTCTTACATTCAGTTTTTAATAAACCTAGTGGACTTAATTGTAAAATGATTTTACTTAGAGAGAAAGAAAATTTGACAAAAAAAAAAAAAGATTTTTCTATACAGGCATTGAGGAAGCTCTAGCCCTTGAGGTAACTATTTTTCCACAGAAGATCCATTCTACAGGGAAGAATTTGCAGGAATGAATACAATGTGAGACAATTTGGCCAGGAAAAAGAATCGTGACTACAGCAGAGTTCTTCAACATCAATAAGTATTTTAAATATAGCCATTTTCATGGATTAAAAATTTAAAGGCTCAATTAAGCTATCCCTGTTCCTGGAAGTTTCAATTTTTCTAAAAGTGTAAATTGGAAAGACTGATAATGCTATAGGTGTATGTAAAATCTGATAGCAGATATACATGCACATAACTTGGATTTAATAAATATATATATTATATTTAAGTGAATTTAAAGATCCAGCACTTGTCAGTGTAAACACAATCATCGAGAACATGAATTTGAAAAATATAATGAAATGAGGCACTGAACAACTAAATCTGGTTTATTTTTCTTTTTTTGCAACTTATAAATAAATGGTCATTATATAACACCTATGTTTGTCAGTCTGAGGAGAGGAATGCATACTAGGACTAAGGCCAGGTGTAACAGTAAAACTGAACTTTGACCATCAGAAACTGACAAACTGTTCATTTTCTTTCCTAATATTTTTCTGATATAATTGCTTTTAATTCCAAAAATAAATACATGAAAAATAATGGCTGTTGCTATGCATCCATATTCCTTTATTTATAGTAAGGTGTTCATCATTAATGGTCTGTAATACAAATGCATAAAATTATCATTTAAACAAATCATTACTAAGTATGTGTGCTAGGATATAGAATGTGCACATGTGATGTATATTATATGTATGTGTATAATATATTAATATATAATGTTACATACATGCATATACATATGGCATATTATTACGCATAGTAGGCTATCTACTTAAATACATTCAAAAATTGTTACTAACCACTGAAATAACACAATTTATCGATATATACATGAAGACTTACCTCTAATATCATCTTTCTTCCTGTGCTATATGTCTTTATGTTAGTGGTGTTTTTAGCAGGTAAGACTAATTTCTCTCTTCTCCAATGGACTGATGCTAGTGGATTAGATTTTACATCACAGCTTATATTGATTGGATTTCCTTCCCAGGAATAATAAATCGTTTGGTTTGATATGAACTTGGGAGCATCTGTAAAGCAATATAATATAACATTTATAGATTTTCTCTTTAAGATAGTCATTTAATTTAGATACAGAATATTAACTGTTACTTTAGTACTAAACAAAACAACAGTAATTCTGTTTTCACGAATTTAATGTGACACCAGAACTCATTAAACAATGTCATTTAGAACATCTCATCAAATACTTATAATATTTCTGTATATGCACTCAGAGTTGGCCAATTACCAAAATATTACACTATCTTTCAGTTAAATTTGCTTTTAAGGGCCCTCCCTGGTGGCACAACAGGTTAAAGCACAGCACTATGAAGCTATCACAGCCACTACAGCACACAGCACTAGTTCAGTCCCTGACCAGGGGTTGGCCCACATGGTGCAGAAGACCTCTCCTGACCCACCTGCTGTTCCCCTCAGCAGTGTGTTTCAGTCCATCTGCCTGTTCTGCTCCCTACTCTGTTTCTGGTGAATCCTCTCATCCCCTGCTCTGGCCTGTACCCCAGCTCTGTATGTATGAATAAAAATATCTTTAAACAATTTGCTTTTGCACACAAAGTTATCTATTGAGTAAAATGAGCAATTATTTACATATGTAGAATCTGTTTCTGAATCAGTCCTTATTATAAAGTGAGATTTTAGGATAAAAAAACAGTATCGATTGTCTTGGGTCATTTTTAACCTTTCTTAGTCACATAATTTATCTTGTAAAATATTTTAAAACAGATAGGAAATCTAAATTAAAGTAGCAATATCTGAACTAAATTCATTTTTCCTGAAATATAATTTTCGATTCTTATTAAACCAGTGATGATTTAATCAAGAGTAGTTAATTTGAAAGTTAATCAGTTCCTAATCAGTTTCTATGACACTCTGTCAATGTTCAAGTCCCTACACAGCCCTCAGTTAAGAGAGAATAGACAATATATCACTTTATTAAAATTAAAAATATTCTAATACAACAGCCAATTAATTGGCAATTCACTTAAATTAAATGGAATTCACTTAAATTAATAAAACATGTTTTAAGGGGAAAAATATTTCTTTCAAGGCCAGGAATGACAAAGTAAAGTATCTAATGACATAACTGATTAAGGTTCCAACTAAGAGAGAAGCTAAACTTCCTGATATTCACGGAAAACTAAGCTCATACCGATATGTATCTCTAAATAATATTATATTGAATAACACATGAAATATAATATTTTTAGCATTATAATATCCTAGAGTGATTTATATAACTTATTTGTACATAAACATAGCCCGATATGAAAATTGCATGCTAATTAATAGTTAATAGATGACTTACAGTCTAGTTTGTCCATATATGTGGGCTATGTATATTGAATTATTATAACTTGATCATACACTTAGGGCAAAATTTGAATATTCTCTAAAAGCAAGATTTGCCACTAATTTCTCGACTGATATTCTCAATGGGAAATTAATTTGAAATTACCCATGTTTAATGTATATGTGTTATAGGCAAGAATGTTACACTGAAAAGTCCAGCAAAATATGTATTTGTGTATGAGGTAAGAACATGTTGATGTTATGTTTACAATAAAATAGAAACTAAATTCCTACATATAAGACCTTAAAAATCTGAAAACAAAGGAAGATGGCAATATTGACTGACACAAGATTGATACTTAATGAAATCAAAAGATTATTATTAAATGACTAAGAAAAAAAGATTTGACTTGGATATAGGCACAATGTTAGAAGGCTAAAGAATGCAACCGTATTTTCTGTTGATTAATCAATCAGTCCAACTTTCTCAAAAATTATGATTTTATAAAGGTAGGGCTTTCACATCATAAAAAGCTTCAAATGTGCAGAATTATTTTAACCAATACAAAAAATGTAGGGGGGATACGGAATGAATATGGCATAAATAAAAGTGCAGAAATAGCAGAAGTGGTAATATAGATCACATAATATTATATGGTATATTTATAGCACAACTGATAGCATGCACTATACACTATATGATGATATATTAGCATACATTGCAATCTTCATCATCTAGATATATAATTTATAGCTATGGATCTATACTAATAGCCAACTATTTCTCTCACACAATAGAAAGCTCCCTATGCACAACTTGCTTACATTTACTTAAGCTGCTGTTGGACAGGAAAAGGGCTGAACTGGGACATTTCAGTTCTGATCTCATGACTTTGACAAATCTTTGACTCAGAGGCACCAGCAGAAGAGGAAACAGCAAGAACTCAATATTTCACTTCCTCAAAGTTGGAATCAGAAAAAAACATGCAATCCTGTCTATACCAATAGATGCGTCTATACCAATAGATGCATAAAGAACATTCAAGACTGGGGGCAAGGGGTGGGAAGGAACAAGGGTGCTCAAGGGACCATTATGGGAGTAAAAAAGTATCAGTGTGTGAAATCCTCTTCTACAGGGGGCCAGTCATTGCAAACACAATGAAGAGGGTAGAAGTGTCCAGAGAGGAGCCAGATCACAAAGGGCTCTACAGGCCACACAGGACTCAGGGCTCTATTCTAAAAGTATTGGGATCAGCTAGAGGAATTTAAGGAAGCGAGCAGTCTGCTCAAACTTGCCTTTTACAATTCAGGATGCCGCCTATCAAATGGACCAGAGACCCCCCCAATATGGAAGCCTGAGGTTACTGCAGTAATCCAGGTGGTAGCTGCCCCTCTGAAGAGACAGTGTAAGAGATTGAGAGATCTGGTCTGATTCTAGATGTATTTTTGAGGAAAATAAATAAATAAATAAATAAATATTAGTTATGTTTACACTTAAAAAAGACTGTCTTCAGCACTGGTAGGTAGCAAGTCATACCTATTTAACTACTGCAAAATAGTATTGCTGACATGCTATGCATTGCCCTTGAAGAGTGGCAATGGGATGATCGCAAACCTATTTTGTACAGCAGGCCCTGGGATAATATTTTATTCAACTTTGTTTCATTTTAACTACAAAAATAAAGCAATTTCTAACAGGAGCCACCGTCTGTGGAGTCTTTGTGTTCCGTGGACTGTGGAGTTTGTTCCTGGTGCTCAAGGCTAGTCCCTCCTCTCAAAGATGTTCACAAAGGCCAGTTGGTATTTATTAACTGGTGAGCCCAGCCTTGTAAAAGAGTTACCCTGTAGTTTCTGTCCACTACAACCTGTACTGGTAGGTGGTCTGGGAGAAAATTAATGAATGAATACAAATTATTATTTAATATTAGAAGTGTTTGCAGTCTTTATTTAGAAGTGTGGTGATAGATCTGTGACCCAGACTATGTCTCAGGAACTTAACTCTTGTTTATATCAATTATGGTATGGAAGAGTGGTTTCTTGTCACTTCACTTCTAAACCACACACGTCATTTCCAAATTTTTAAGAAACTATGACTGTGTCTGAGAACTCCAAAAACATTGTTCTCAGTTATCATACTCCCTAGCATAATCATTCTCAAATGTTTTCTTCACTATAAGATTTAAAAAAAAGTAGCATTGGTAGGCATTAGACTATCTTATCATTAGAATATCTTAATTAGAAACAGACATATATTGATATATATTCCAGACCAATAAATCACAGTGTGCAGTGTATAAAAATACCTCTCGTATCTCGACCGTCCCTAATACATCTCCATCTCCTCTAGGCCATAATCAACACCTGATCCATTTTAGGGGTACCTTCCTTACTGGTATCTCAGTTTATATTTAAGATGTTACCATCTTGCTTACTCTATGAAGGACACCCTTCACTTCTAACATTTAAACTTTTATGATGAAGAACTTATGAAGTTCTACATTACCTCTCTTTTCCTATTTCATGTCCTTGTCTACATTTGGGAGAATTTATTCCTTAACTCCTTGTCATTCCTAACCCCCCCTTTTTTTTTTTTTTCGCTTTTAGCTCTTCTGACTAATGGTCCATTTATCTGATCACATTTTGGTATTACACACCTTAATGTAGTAATGTGAGTTTACGTCCATAAGAAAAACATGAATACCTTAAGAATGAGAATTTTGCCTTTTGTATACTTCTCTACAGAACTGAATTTATAATTGACATTCAATAGATACTCAGTAAATTACAGTTAAATAAATGAATGAACATGCTATCTATGAAAAGGAAATAAAATGTGGCAATATGTAACCTAGACATCATCACTGCATTTACCAGAGGATGAAGTTTACCAACATTTGCTGGACTTTCCTAACATTGCAAAATTTCTACTCCAATGCAACATTGTATCTGTAGTGATACCTTATCCTTCATAGACTCTCACTGCCTAGTTTGTGAAGTTAGCCCCTTAAATTAGCTAAGTACTAATTGCCCATGTTTTTTTAATATCTAAAACAACTTGACAATTTTTCAGTTATTGAATTTTTCTCACTTGATTTATGCTAAGGAAAACTATCAAGGGAATAAAAACTAATATATCCTTTGGCACATTTAGAGGATAATTCAATTAATAATTTCATAGATCCAGTTCTAGTGTATGTTCACTCGTATGCAGAATCAGCTATGGCAATTAACTGGATTCAGCCTGTGTGCCATGGGGATGGTAGTAGCTGCATGGAATACGAAATTAGATGTGTGCTTACTGCCAATCAACCACACACTGGATGTGCATTTTCTATACCAAATTTGAGCTGTCAGATTATGCAAATCTAAGCAGAAGAATGTGCATAGTATCTGTTAAGAATATATAAATATGTGTGTGTGTGTGTGTGTGTGTGTACACATACACACTCATCACAATCATACAGATGTTCATATGTGACTCAGGCCATAGTTGATTTCTAACTTAATGCTAAAAAGAATATGGATATTACTGATCATAAGAGGAGCTTGATTATGAAGGGAACTAAAAAACTTTTTATTATTATACTTCCTCTCTAGTCCTAACCATTTTGCTTCTTAAATCAAGTATACAAATATTAATATAAAATGTTTGCTACCTATCACTGTTTTGTCCTCTCGTGATTTTATATAAATTTTTCATAAAAGTATTTTAAGGACT